GTAGGTTGTTTTGGTTTTGTTTAGCTTCTATATTTGTTACAATGTTTCTTAAACTGCAGGCTCAGAGGCCAGTAAGGCAGGCGGGGAACGGTGAAATCCTCCATCACTGAAGCAAGCAAGCCTCATGTTAGTTTCAAGCTGCCTGGCTGCTGGCTGCCATCTTGGCTGGCAGTTAATTTGCATATCTCGCTGATTAGCCAATGGGAAGGGTAGCGGTCATACACCAATTACCATGTTTCTCTTTTATTAGATAGGATGACCATGAGGCCAGCTGAAAATGCTATTAATTCAGAAGAAAGGAAAGAGCTATTGAGGGACAATTACCAAGCCCTGCCACACTCATCCTTATAGCCTCACCATAATGAATGACACATACAACAGTGGCACTCAATCTATTTTACTTCTTAAATCAACTCAATTGGAAAAAAAAAGCAAACATTAACTGAGAGTCTCCTGTATCAAGTCCAAAATCCTCTGTTTTGTGTTAAGATTCTTTTTTATACTAGTACCATCCTCCTTATATAATTTTATTTGTTAACATTTAAGGGGCACTTAGAATTCTTCATAGAAGCACAGGCCTTGTAACCCAAATGCCTTAGTTTAAATTCCAATTCTACAACTTACTAATTGTGTAATCTCAGGGGGGTAACATGATTTCTCTGTGCCTCAGATTTCAGACATGTAAAATAATGATAATGATAATAATACCAACATTCTAGAGTTATTTTCAGATTAAATGCATGAATACACTTAGTGCACTTAGATCAGTAACTGACACATGGAAAGCACTTAATAGATGGCTAGCTACATTCTTCCCCAGCATTACTGGCCAACTAATTGTCCCAGTGTCTTATATTATCCTTGAGACTTTATCAGATCCCAGTTTAAGGTAGTCATTTTTACTTTTGTTCTACCTCTTGAATTCTTAGTAACTATCCAATCTTTTGATCTTGAGAAGTGCAATTTTCCATAACTTGTACTATATGGCTTCAACTGTAAACCCTTTCTATTTTCTATTTATCTAATGCCTACTAGTCTCACCTCAAATCCCAAAAAATATTCACATTCATTTTTTATCTTATTAATTCCAGTTAAACAGTATGTACTTGGAGGAGACCTTCAAATGCCTACACTCTCAGCTTCTATCCAGGCCCCAGATGAGTGGTGATTAAAGGTAAAGGTTAATGGTCAGCTGCTCTTCATACACTTCAACACAAACAACATACTACAGCAGAGTGAATGCGATAGCAGAAATGAGAGTCTGTCTCCTAATAAGGTAGACATTAAGGGGATTTGCCAAATGTATGATGCTGTCATCTCACTAAATTGTTTTGTTTCAGAGATAGTTACTTTTCTTTAAAATGTTATTTAAGTTAACATGCAATGCCGGTCCTACTGTTATTTTTTTAATATATATTTTATTGATTTTTTACAGAGAGGAAGGGAGAGGGATAGAGAGTTAGAAACATCAATGAGAGAGAAACATCAATCACCTGCCTCCTGCACCTCCCCACTGGGGATGTGCCCGCAACCAAGGTATATGCCCTTGACCGGAATCGAACCTGGGACTCTTGAGTTCATAGGCCGATGCTCTATCCACTGAGCCAAACCGGTTAGGGCCTTACTGTTATTTTTAACTAATAAGCATTTTAAATTTTAATTTCTAATAGAGTAAATAGCCCCGTATACATATCCAACATCCTACCTTTAGGGTCATGTTGTTCCCTTTACCTAAGTACCCTTCCTTTTGACTCACACAGATTAAAAGTAGCTGTCACATCTTCCCTCGCTCTCTCCCAATTTTCTGGGCGGGGAGGCAACCAAATTTTTGTTGGCCTTGAAAAGAAAAAAGAAAAAAAAAGTAGTTGTCACTGCCCTAACCAGTTTGGCTCAGTGGATAGAGTGTCGGCCTGCGAACAGAAGGGTCCCAGGTTCGATTCCAGTCAAGGGCAACCTAACTCTCTATCCCTCTCCCTTCTCTTTGTAAAAAATCGATAAACTATATTTTTAAAAAATAAATAAATAAAAGTAGCTGTTACTCAAACATGCACTCACAATCGAGCTGCTTTTAAATTGTTTCTTTTGAAGAAAAAAATAATAAAGCACCCTTCCTCTCTCAGCTAGACACATCTAGATGCTATAATCCTTCAAAACTCAGCTCAACAGCTACCTCTTTCATCATCTCCTACTACAAATGATTTCTTCCTACTTGAATTGCCAATGCACTTTATCTGAACTTCTCTCAATTAACATCTCTAAATGATTTATCTTCCTTGAGTGCAGACTATTCATCTCCAGCTCAGCTTCTGGTTGTTCAGATTAAGAGAGTGCTTGCAAAGAGAAAAAGTATGCACAAGGAATATACATATGCAGAGGGAATATAGAGGGAAATAAGGACAGGGAAAATACAAGGTGTGGATAAAGGCAGAGGGCCCAGGGGGCAAGTGCATGCGTGCAGGATATGTTCAGAGGAACGCACTGAAATCTAAAGAGCTTTTATAGAGAATGAGAGAAAAGATTACACAATTCTGAGAAAGCCAAGATCCAAAATAATATTTAAAGGCATTCCCTGAAATTTTTACTTCTAACAAATGATTGGGAAGTTCCCCTTTAATGTCCTTGAAATACCACAGCAATCATAGCAGCCAACATAGCAGAAATCACAGCACTGTGATCACTATGTGGTGAACACAGTGCTAAGGACTTGGCCTGCTTTTTATCAGCTAATCTTCACAGAAAATCCGTGTCCTCAAATATTTACTGATTTCCTAGAAGAAAGGGAACATTGACCCTGCTTTGAGTCTTATTTTTTAACGTTTTTTTATTATTGACACTCTTACAGATGTCCCCATTCCCCTCCTTCCCGCTTTGAGTCTTAAAGCTGACTTGCATAACCTCTTTAGCAAGACCACATTTGCAAAAGTACAGAGTAATCCAGAAAAAAAGGAATTTTTTAAAAATCTATTATTCTGTCTTTCAGCATAAAATACTGTAGCTCTGGCCACCATGCATAACAATATCACATAAGTGGAAAGGAGGGTCCTCCTCCGACTGATAGGATTTGAGGAAAGCTTAAGCCTTTTGGTTCCATGGGATTGTTGGAGAAGGGAGATTCAGGTAGATCTAGGGGGACAAACATGGGAGTTTTGTTTTCAAACCTGCCCAGAAGGATAAACATAGGGGCAGGAGTAGAAATAATTAGCTATTTGGGAAACCTGAGAGCTTTGAGGGCTATTGGCACACTCTCAGACTTTAACTTTCCTCAGAGGTACAGGGTACCATGAAGCAACATCAGTAAAGGTAACTAGATGGTGGAGCCAGAAACCAGTGTGGATTCCTATGTGCTGAGAGTTGTGAGAAAGGGACCCCGAATTGTTCGTGTGACCAGAAAGAAGTGTTGAGAATACCTGTGGACCAGGTGAAGTTGGACAATTTCAGTGCCAGGGAGATTACTAGTGTGATTCACCAGTGAGCATCCTCACACTTTTACTTTATATCAGTGATGGCGAACCTATGACACACGCGAACTCATTTTTTTGGTTGATTTTTCTTTGTTAAATGGCATTTAAATATATAAATTGAATATAAAAAATATAAGTCTTTGTTTTACTATGGTTGCAAATATCAAAAAATTTCTATATGTGACACGGCACCAGAGTTAAGTTAGGGTTTTCAAAATGCTGACACACCGAGCTCAAAAGGTTCACCATCACTGCTTTATATACTTGTTTTATAATTTCTGCAAAACAGATTCCTAAAGGTAAACCACTAGTCAAAAGCTATGTCCATCCTACATTCTGAGAGCTACTAACAAACTGTGCACCTGTGTGCAATGCATGCTGCAATGCCACTGATTTAGGCAAATATCAGTTCATGGCTCAAATAAAGAAAGGGCTTTCTCATAGTTAAAAATGTCCCACAGCAGATCAGACTGCCTGAGTCCACAGCAGTATGTGTTTCAGAACAGACTGGACAGTCAGAATGCTGTCAACGGCATTTCAACATCAGGTACAGGGTCTAAGGTATGTTGGATATTCAGATGCACTCGGGACCTCCCAAATGTAGCAAGGTCTCCACATAGTGGTTCTACTGGCCTGAGTCCTTCCACATGCAGTTTCCCCAGGCAGCCTAAGAGAGCAGTCTGGGAGCCTCCAGCTGCTCTCTCGAAGCACTCGGGCCCCTCTCTGAGACTCTCTGCAAAAACTTACTCCTGGGCTCTTCCTGTCCTCTGCCTCCAACACAGGTATGTCCATCGAGTCCCAAGCGGATACAACTCGGGTACCACTATAAGCATCCTCTGGTGGTCTCAGGAACAACACCAGGTTTTCCCAGTGTGCAAACACATCTTCTTTTGCATCTGAAGGGGAGCATAATTGTAGGTAAAAAGAGCAGCCAGTGGCAAGCTTCAAGTGGAGCTGTTTTTTCTCATGACTGTAAACAGACAATTTTACAAACTTCAAAGGAAGAAGCCTGGTCAGTTCCAAGGTCTTCACTGACTTGAGACCCCTTCCTTGGGTGTGTTGATCATGTCTGGCAAAGACTGCACAGCTGACAGCTGGTCGTGCCAGCAGCATGACGTCAGGTATTGTGAGGCTGGGGCTGGTATATGCAATGCCCACAGTAACCACTTGCATACTGTTGTGCACATCAATCACTTCTCCTCTTTTGCTGATCTGTATGAAGTCATTCTCAAACATAGGAATGCGCTTGAACATGGTAAATGCGCCCTTGCACAGCTGCCGCTGCAGTTTCCCCATGGAGCCGTGGAACATGTGCAGCACTTGGCTGCTCTGGGCACTGCCCTGCCAGAGCGTTGTGTTGCTACCCATGTCGGTCCTTCATTGAGACTGCTGCATGTCCTCTCCCCAACCTCCTCTTGGGTCTGAACCTCAGTCCCCCTCAACCCCAGCCCTCCACCCCACGGGCCACCTTTAAGCTTTTGCTATTGGTTATGACCTGCAGTCAGCTGTCACCCACAGCACTGTGTCCTCATCCCCACAGCTGCCCCCGCAGGAAGGGACAGCGTCCTCCTGCAAACAGCCACCCCACAAGGGCACAGAAAGTACCAAATTCTTATGTTTTGCTAGCGTAACACAAGTACGCTTCTTCAAGGACACTTGTTTTCATGCAGCTACCAGAGGCAATGATATGTGATTAGCAGTCCCTGTCTTGCTTTAATCTATAAAGGTGATACTAAGAGGTGACAAATACTTAAGGCTTTATAAGAACTGAATGTATTTTTGAGCTTTTGCTTAATGTTTTATAGTTGTCAGTGAATTTCTATGAAACATTAACTTCAGTCACCAAGTTTGAATTTAAGAATGTACATAAAGGTTTAACAGGGGAAATGTTCCTAAGAATCTCCTATCCTGCTCAAATCTGCATTTGGTTGTAACTGTCTATAAACTGCTTTCTCAAAAATTCAATTATTGAGCTGCTTCATTTTTTTCTGGAAAGACTGAGCTTGCTATTTGTTGCCTACAAGGGAACAAATAACTAAACTGCATGAAGAGTTTATTAAGTTAAACTGGCATTCATATGATATGTATGGTAAATTTTGCTTTTATTTTTCAATAAAAGGTTTTTATCTCAATATTTTATATATCAGGTATATAACAGGGTTTCAGCTTGCCTCTACTAATTTAGCATTGCTGACCCAGTCTTCAAAAAGACATGCTAGGATATAAAACCTTCATGTTTTTATAGTTTCTATTACCACTAGATTTGAACTTGAGAGGATGGAAACCTAGAACTCGTGAAGACTGCCATGTGAAATCTGAGCATGAAGGTAACAAAACGGAATAGAAACTTGTTTCTGAATGCAGCCATACCTGAATCAGACCCAAACTTGGGCTTTTCTATAATAGGAGACACTAAGTCTCTTTTTTCCTTTTTGAGTTGGGTTTCCCACTTATAACAGAAAGTGTTCTAAATAACTCATCACAGCTGCAAAGCAAATGCTGCAGGGCTGATGAGAGTATGTGACCAAGGACCTTAACCTGGCTGACCAGTCAAGAAAGAGAAGTTATGTACAAGTAGTAATGTCTAAGCCAAGATGTAAAAGGTGTGCAAGAAGAAGCCAGATCAAAAGGAAGGAGCAGGTGCAGAGAATGTTTTCCAATAGAGTGAAGAACTGCTATGAGGGTTTTTTCAACATTTATAGAACTGATGGAAGGATGAGATGTAAGGAGGAGAGAAGAAATGTGAAAAGGTTGGAAAGGATGATGGAGACTTCAAAGGCCATGTATTGGCATAAGTTATGTGGCCACTTGAAAAGTTTTTAATTAAAATTTTAACAAATGCACATGGCCAAAATTCAGTCAGTGCAATAGATGCTATTGCACTAGATGTTAATAAACTCTTCAAAATTCTCCCACCTCAAAAAAGCATTGATTATTTCTAAGAGTTGACAATCGATAACAAACTACACCTCAAAGAACAAGAAATGAGCCGAAACCGGTTTGGCTCAGTGGATAGAGCGTCGGCCTGCGGACTGAGAGGTCCCGGGTTCGATTCCGGTCAAGGGCATGTGCCTGGGTTGCGGGCACTTCCCCAGTGGGGGATGTGCAGGAGGCAGCTGATCGATGTTTCTCTCTCATCGATGTTTCTAACTCTCTATCTCTCTCCCTTCCTCTCTGTAAAGAATCAATAAAATATATTTAAAAAAAAAAAAAGAACAAGAAATGAGAATATAAATATACGATGACTTTTAAAAACTAAGAAGGGGTAGAGAAATGTAACTGTAGATTTAAGGAGGACCTAGGAACACACTGGATCCCCCGATCTAAATTATTCCTTCGAAGTGTCTCTCTTGGAGTTATTAGTTATTAAGAAGGAAAACAAATTATAGGTACCTAAGCAAAAAAAAAAAAAAAAAAGATTTTTTTAAAAAGTATCTCCAGAACAGCAAGGAACTAAACTTTTAAAGGCCACATAGCCAAGAATAAACCTAAGAGTATGTCTCAACCTGCCCAATGTCTGTGCCCAGATGTCGTAGCTTACACAACCAACAGTCTAGGTCAGCCGGGGCAAACTATGGCCCGCGGGCCGAATCTGGCCCGTTTGAAATGAATAAAACTATTGAAAAAAAAGACCGTACCCTTTTATGTACCCTTGTATGTAATGCTGTTTACTTTGAATTTATATTAGTTCACACAAACACACCATCCATGCTTTGGTCCGGCCCTCCGGTCCAGTTTAAGAACCCATTGTGGCCCTCGAGTCCACACCTGGTCTAGACATTGGATGAATGGCACACTTAGAACCGCTGTTTCTGATGCTTCTAAAACTAAACAAGAATGGCTACTGCTACCACCCATCACCAGAGTGGATTGTGTGCAGTACCATCTTCTTCAATATGACTAGCTTCTGGTCCAAAATTGGAGGTAGGCATATTATACTGATGGAACCTATCAATGTCTGAGATAAAAAGGGGGCTGGTAATAAAGCATCTAACATTTTTAAAGGAAGGCACTGACTCACAAATTGAAGGGTTTGCCAAATGCAGGAAAAGGTTCAAATGCTGAAAGCAAATAAATGACAAATGTTTACGATTCATAACAACCCTACTGATGGCATTTAGGCAACCACACTACCCTAAATAATAATTATCAAAATCATACGGTACTGCCCAACTGGCATGGCTCAGTGATTGAGCATCGACCTATGAACCAGGAGGTCACGGTTCAATTCCCAGTCAGGGCACATGCTTGGGCTGTGGGCTTGATCCCCAGTGAGGGGCATGCAGGAGGCAGCCAATCAATGATTTTCTCTCATCATTAATGTTCTATCTCTCCCTTCCTCTCACTTCCTCTCTGAAATCAATGAAGAATATATTTTTTAAAAAACACTATATTGTACTTAGAGTCAAAGCACTGTACCACAGATGACATGTTGCTTATAAGGGAAAAAATAAACTTTATAATAGAATGATTAGATTTGTCACCGCTTTACTCACTGATCAATCTCAGCACCACTAAGAGTAGGACAATCAGATCTGTGACTCCAGATATAATGCATTATGATATACACAGCATCAATCATAAATGCTGGTGCCCAAAAATGTTTTTAATTTAAACAAATCTTTAGATCTATCTTTCAGCTTACAGGAAATAGAAAACAATGAAAAAAATCAGATAAATTCAAAATGCAGATTATACAGAACAATTGATTAGGTATCATGAAAAGAAAAAGGACAATGTGGGAAGATGCTGTAGATTAAAATGGACATAAGAAATGTACAACAAAGTCCATATATCAACATATGTGTAACTCTATTGAAAAAAATCTGCATTATTAACCAATACACCTAGTAAACAGGCAGCATCCAATATTAACGTTTTCATGAAGCAATAAGATTTCCAAATTACTCTTGCCAAATACTGGAGGATATTTCCTTTGAGCCCCACCAAATATTAGTCCTAAAATAAAATTAGACTATAAGAGTAATTAAAAACAATAGTTAGAATTATTTAAGAAGCAGTATTCCAACATTTCTCAACAACATTCAATTATAACCCAATTAGAATTGTCAGACAAACACAGGATACCCAGTTTAACTTTGAATTTCAGACAATTTTTAGTGTATGCATGTTGCAAATATTATGTGTGCTTTTATTAGCTAAATTTGGCAACCACAGTTTTACTAAAAACACAATAGTAAAATCTGATTTATGCATTTTTTCATTATAAAAGTTACTTAAATTTAGAAAAAGAAAAAAATCCATAACCCTATCATACCAATACAATCAGCATTTTAGTGCATTCCTCATCTTTTTCTTTAAATGATTATATATACCCTTCCTTAATAGGCATATTTATGCTATAGGCATTTATCCTATTTATGGTAATATAGTCTTTGTGATTATTTTCATGTTACATCATGGTTCTCCGAATAGATATATCATAACTTAAAGTCTCCTAGTAATGGAAATTTAAGTCACTTCTGATATGCTGCTACTATAAATAATACGCTCTGCGTATTCTGCACAGACTTGTTTTTTATCTTTTCCTTTTTTTTTTTTGCGTAGTTATTTAGGATAGTCTCAGAAGTGAAATTACTAAATCAAAGGTTTATTACAAGGTTATGAACAGTCTAGCAATTCAAAATATATATGTCAAATTATAATTCACTAGCAATATTTACAAATGCTTGCACTACTAAAATCTAACCAGCATTACATATTACTATTTTCAAAACATTTAAAATAGGTATAAAACAGTATTTCATTTTGCTTTAATAACATTTATTTGAATACTGATAAGATCTTTCATCTATGAGTTGTATTTCCTCTGCTATCAACTGTCTGCTATTTCCTTTACCCATTTCAAAAATGTTTTTGTTCATTACAATAATGAAGCTTCCCAAGTAAAGAATGAAAGGACCAACTGTCTAAAATTCTAGCCACATGGGCCAAACAAAAAACTATAGTTTATGTCTACAATCCCCACTGCCTTCCAAAATTACTACAAACATCACTTTTTATATGAACTCTCATTTTATTTATATGAATACTACTTCAAGTTTTATTTCATATAAATCATTACACTCATAATTTAAAATAAATTAAAAGTTGATGTAACTCAAATTTCCTGATATTTATTTTTTTAATATATTTTATTGATTTTTTTTTTTACAGAGAGGAAGGAAGAGGGATAGAGTCAGAAACATCGATAAGAGAGAAACATCGATCAGCTGCCTCCTGCACTCCCCCTACTGGGGATGTGCCTGCAACCAAGGTACACACCCTTGACTGGAATCGAACCTGGAACCCTTCCCTCCGCAGGTCGACGCTCTATCCACTGAGCCAAACCGGTCAGGGCAAATTTCCTGATATTTAGAGTAAATGCAAAAAAGGTCAATTC